ATACCTGGAGACAATAAGTTGTTCAAAGTACAATGATAAGCATTCAGAAAAAAGCAAATAAAGTAAAAGTTTAGTTGCAATTTCAACTTCTTCAATATAAGCTCCAATTTAAAGACTCCACTCAGAAGTGGTTCACTAGGGTGTAAATGACATCTCCAAAGCCAGGCCTGGCTTCTCTCCTGCTGCACTCTGTCCCTCCTGCATTCTGCACCTCCAGTAAGTTTCCACCATTCCCACACAAGGACTCAAGGCAGAAATGCGAGACTCACTCTTGACTCCTCTCCCATCAAATTATCTCCACCTCCAACTGTTATGTCCCATTCATTCTACCAGTCAAGCTCCCACCATTTCTGACTTAGATTAACACAGCTCTTCCTTAATTGTCTCCACCTCTGTTTTCAAATTTGGATTTAATCATGTGACTTCTCTGCTTGGAATTTCCATTAGCTTCCCGTTACTTTCAGGCTTAGATCCAAACTTTCAAATATGGTATAAAAGACACTGAGATGCCTGCCTACTTGCCCTCCCTGTCTTCTTACATTTCTATTTTGGTTTCTGCTCAGTAAGCATTTGCTGCTCCACACCCATTCCTATAACTTCTACCAGTGGCTCAAAATTCAGCTAAAAGTAGCAGTGACATGAGAAAAGCCAATTCTCACTCTGTCACACCCCTCAAGGTTAGGTGAGTTATCCCTTCTACTCAGAGCTGTCTTGTGCACCACTGAGAAACTGATGCCATCACATTTTTTGTTTTACTCCACTGAACAACCTCAGGGCAAGAACTACACTGTCAATCATGCAGTTTCATTGGTCAGTGCCAAGTCTATACCAGAGTAGCTGTTCAATATATACTTCCTGAATAAGTGAATAATCAGTAACAATGTACACACAGCACTGGATAAGCATTAGTTCTGTTATGCTTTCCATCTAGATATTCCCCCAACCTCATGCACTCATAGGTCGGGTTTTCGGGAAGTGGCTGAATCACGGATGTGTAACACTGGATTATGGATGAAATAAATGGATTAATCCACGGACTGGTTTAGCATAGCTCTGGATGTGGATAATGGAAGGCCCACCCGGGTGTGAGCAGCATTAACCAATGGGCTTGAGGCCGACTGACATAACAAAAAAAGGGAAGGCTCAGCGCTGACTGCTTCCTGTACACCACACCATGGACCATTTCTTTAATGCCATGCTGCTATCCTTAGAGCCAGCCTACTATGGACTGAAACCTCTGCAAATGTGAGCTAAAATAAACCCTTCCTCCTTGAACTTGTGGGTGTTGGGTATTTTGTCCCAGCAACAAGAAAGTAACTAAGACAAGCTCCTATGAGCGGGAAGTCAGTTTCTGTCACTGACCTCCAGTGCTGCCAGCCTAAAGCTAGTTTTTGACATGAATGATCAGTGTTTAAAAATGCTAGGTGAGAGGAAGGCTTGAGTGGGAGTTCTGGATGAATGCAGTGGAAGGAAACCATTACTTCTGTGAATCATTCCAGAACTACAAGTGTCATCTCCAATTTCAGGGCCAGGAGCAACAGAATCACCCAGAAACCATGATGCTCAGATATCTCTGTTCCAAATAATAAAATACAAATTTAACTTTTTAGTTGTTGTTCACTGGCATGGTAGACAGAAAAACAGCTAGTAGATCCACCTTTGGCCTTAAGTACTTTTTGGCAGAAAATTTCACTCTAATGAATTATATAAATAATTCCTTCATAAATCTCTCAATTGCAGGGAAATGAAAAAAAATCAATTTGTGTCATGTACAGGTACAAATTCTCTACAATAAATGTGATCATTATGTATATATAAAATGTACCAATAAAATCTGGTTAAAAACACTCAATTTTAGCCGGGCGTGGCGCCTGTAATCCTAGCACTCTGGAGGCTGAGGCAGGAGGATCATTGTGAGTTCGAGACCAGCCTCGGTTACAAAGTGAGCTCCAGGCCAGCCTGAACTGCATAGAGAGACCCTGCCTCAGAAAGACAAAAAAAAACAAAAACACTCAATTTTGCCATGTATATGTATGCTATCATATTGCTAGAAATATATGACTTCAAATAAAAACAAATTTGGAGAGAAAAATGAGAGTTTATCACAAGGAGCAGTGATTTCAAAATTAATTTTAAAAATCAGGTATTTCAAAGTCATTAACTTTTAGCATCAGAACGATCAACTGTTATGATTGACCTTCTACATCTTCACCAAAAATCTACTCACAGGGCATTTATAAATTTATAAATATAAAAGATGCAAAACTTAAATTACTGGACAGCTCACTTTTCTACCAAGATTCATAAATTAATCTTCCAGAATCCTAAGGGATGAACTCATACGGATTAAGAGAAAGATTCCAAAGGATATGGTATGTATCATTTTATCATACCAAAACAACTCTCAAAACTCATTTTCAGTCCCACAACATTTATTTAAAATGCTGTAGATATCAACAGCCAAGAGCGTGAATTCTGGAGCCAGAATGCCAGGATCAATCCCACTTTCACTTGTCAGCTCTATAACCTTGGGAGGCTTATATTGCCCTGTAATATACAACCTCACTGTTCTCATCTGTACAATGGAATTAACGAAGTGCCTACCTCTTGGAGTTCTAGAACTATTGAAGGTTAACCCACAGAATGATTTGAACAGTTGTTGGTCATCACTTTCTCTGACTGTGTGGCTGGTTACAATGGTGATAATGCCCTCACAGGATCAGCATACAGTACTGTCATGAACTTTATAGTGAAATGGTGTAACCTAGTCTTTGAATGATCAGGGAAGACAAATTAATCAATTTTGTTCCAAGGGCCAGGAAAAAGTGACCTACTGTCCAGCATTTTGCACAAGTCCTCAATTTGAGTTTTCTATGGAATGAAAAAGTTTTAATGACTGAAAAGCAGTGAAGAGAAAGTGAACAGTGAGTGTTCCTGCATCAGACACATCAATAAACACTACTGAGCAGTCAACTGACTGCACAAAAATACTGCTAACATACATCCATGAATACTACTTTGCATAATAGTAAAAACTGTAATATGAAGCAATACTAACAACAGTAAAACAGAAATAAGTAAGCCAAGTGCATGGTTAAAAATAACGACTGCTGACTATCAGCTTTATATTCTCTTTTGGTAATGTCAATTTACAACTGTGCAGCAGCTCAAACAAATTTTTACAGCACCATGTTACGGGTTACAAGTTCCTGATCAGATATTTCAGAATTTAGCTTCCCTTTATCCACCCCATAGATCAGGCTAATTAATTACTAAACAATAATACCCGTGGCCATCATTTGCTTTGGTTGTGGTTGTTAACTATCTCATCTAATTCCAGTACTATAACCATTTGGTGCTTTATTTTTATAGCCAAGGAAATTCACAGGGTCAGTTTTTAAAACACTGAAATAAAAGTATAGCTATTATGGTTAAAAAATATTATCTCTCGTATCTTCACAATAGTTAGATCAACATTAAAAATTCAACTATAACTAGAAAAACATTAATCCTATACAAACTTATTTCTAGAAATACTTAAGCTAATTTTCTCTAAAGGAATAGAACAGTATTCAAAATACTAATTCTATAAGCTCTTCTGCCTCTTCCAGACAGGAGCAGGGTGCTCTGCCAAGCATGACTCTGCAGCAAACTAACACTAGTCCAAGAGTGGGCACTCCTTTCAACTTCATCTGTCCTGCCCATCTTTTTTGCAAACAGAATATATGTTGTTCCCTTAATGCTCATGTACATTTCTTAATGGATTTGTTTTCCCATTCACATTGTTAATACCAACAATTTAGGTCTCTTAATCTAGTATTTGTTTCTGCAAATTACTAGAAATTTACAGGGTATGACAAGTATCAAAACCTAAACATCCCATTCATAAAATAAGACAAATGAAACATAACAAAAACTATTCTTGATTTTTTTCTTTGTTTTTTAGATCTCTTTTCTTTAATTCTTTGCTTTTTAAATTTTTTTTTAAATTTAGTACTCAGTTAATTTTAGCAAGTAATTATTTCTGCCAAAATCAAAAATGGTAATGCTGGCCGGGCGTGGTGGAGCACGCCTGTTAATCCCAGCACTCGGGAGGCTGAGGCAGGAGGATCGTTGTAGGTTCGAGACCACCCTGGGCTACAAAGTGCGCTCAAGGCCAGCCTGAACTACATAGTGAGACCCTGTCTAAAAAGATCAAAAAAAAAAGGTAATGTCCATCACTGTCACAAAAGTCACAATAAGCATAATGTGAAAACTATGAGTAAAAATTGCATCATTATATATGATATAAAAATAGGATATAACAACAATCTTCTTTTGGTAGAGGTTTCCTCCCCATGGTAAGAGGAGTTTATGTGCCAGTTTCTAGTCACAAGTAGAGTCTACATCTCTGAAGTGCACTGGAAAGTACAGGTCAGGCCAAAGGGCAGTTCCCAATGCTTAACTCTCGGATGGCGGGCGGAGCAGCAGGGAAGAGTAGAGAGACGAGATTGACATAGTGGGCAGAAAGAAGACACCCCCCACAACAAGCCCTAAGCAGAATGGACTGTCATGGGGCCTCAGGGGCCTTGACATGCCTTCAGGAAGGACAGAGATGGAAAGAAAAGGAACAATTCATAAATGACACAGAATTCAGCTTTTACCACAGGCAATTCTAATCCCATATTGGCATTGAATGGCCTGACAATTAAAACAAACAAACAAACAAACAACAAAAAACATAATTTGTACTACTACTCCTATCCGAAATGGCAAAATCACATGGTACTTTGATTATTACTCCAATTTCAACAGAACATATAAGTACTAAAAAATCAGGTATGTGTTTTCTATTATTTTGTTTCAGCTAACCAGAATTTTTTAAATGTGGGTACGGTCAGTCTTTTTCTCTCAGGATTTTTACCCTTCACAGATTTACTTCATGTTAGTGTCAATATCAACAGCATTTTAAAAAAATAAGCAACAAAGGAAACTAGAATACATCTAATGAAATTCCATACCTGGTGATACTTCCTGGTGTTCTTCCACAGGGGGAACACTTACTTCTAAAATAAAAAAGTTACAATCCATTAAACGTTACTCACCAGAGTTTAAAATACTTATTAGCAATACTGTACTAGTTATGATGATTTTTTACAGACTTGGAATCTTCAACTGAATGATCAGGAAAACATTAGGTTTGCACACCATCCCTGCACAGAAAAGAACCAGCTACACATGGGCAAATTACTGTAGATTTCTCAACTGTTCTGCACAACGGTTTTTACATCATCTTTCTAACCAACCTCAAAATCCAAAACATAGGTTTTGCCACAGTTGTGCATCAAACTTGATAAGCAAAGTGAGGAAAGACACATAACGCATCTTGTTTCAGCATAAAATAATTTTTTATTAGAAAGTTTGTGGGGGAGGGAGCTATTGAGGGGGTGGGGGGTCATACCTGGGGCCTTGTACACACTAGTAAGCACAGACTTTACCACTTAGCTACTTCTCAGAAACAACTCTTGAAAAGTTTTTGGCCCATAACCCTATTTTAATATCAATTAGACAACATAAGTAAATTAATTCAAAGTCAAATCTTAAAATCAAATACCATTCTTAATGTTTCTGAAAAATAATCTTCAAGTTAAATTTTTTTTTCTATACTGGGGATTGGACTCAGGTCCTGGCACACCCACATGCTATACTAGTGAGCTAGCTACACCCCCAGCCTCCAAAACATGATCTAAGACCAGTCAATGATGTGGATGTGACACTTTTACCATCTTGTTTTTTCCCTTGGCTGCTTCAGCCTAATTACAACTAGACTGCAAGCATCACCACCCAGCATTATAAAGATGAAGTGTTATAAAGATGAATTTATTTTATCTGATTCATAAAATTATATCACATATTAATGTCTTAAAAACGTAACAACCCATTTAATACTACATTAATCTAAAGACTACCAGCTTTCCTTTTGCTCCTTAAACCAATATAATATGCTTTGGTCTAATGTAGATATTTTAATATTTTCCAAAACTGAAAATATTTGTGCAGCTATTTTGATTTTTTTTTTGTCTCAATTTGCTAATTATACAAATGATGCATGCTAAAAATAGAATATTTGGAAATATTTTACATGAAAGGAAACTGAAAAGAATAACCAAACACATTTCTAATAACGATTAATGTATTACACTTCCTGTTATTTTCTTCACTTAAGAAAGCTACTACGATTTCAAGTTAAATTAAATCTTTATCGAATTTTATTCTGAAAAATATACATCATAAAAACTCTAAAACTTTGATATATGATTTATTTTTATATCATTTTATATGATTTCATAAAATGAAATAACAAATTAGTTGTATCAGCACAATCTGAAAGCATTACCTATTTAATGTATGTAGCCTGTCTCTTCTTATCCTGGGTCTTTTTGAATGCACTTCTTTTAGTATGGCTTTTTCTCCCACCAGTTATCCAATGGCTTCTGAGAAGACCAACAACATTCTCAATGTTGCCAAACCTGATGGGCAATTCCCAGTCGTGGGACCCATGGGCCACTCAGCAAGATGCAACATATTCCATCTTTTCCTTTCGACATACTTTCCTCCTGCCTCACTGGTTGCTCGCCCTCCATTGAGCTTTATAAGGTTGGAGGTCCTCAGCAACATTCGTCCCAGGACAGCCACTCCACTCTCGTAAGCACTCACTTCCAGAACCACCACACTGGCTTCCACGGGTTCATCACCACCTCCAAGATGACAGATGCAAACACTCATATTCATCTCAGCTCTTGCTCAATCAGTTGACAGTGGTACATTTACCTTAATATTTAATAGCTCCATTTGGATATCCTCACATAATTTTCGAACTTAAAATGCCTACTGTGGCTCTTTTGATCTTCCCCCCTAGTTTGTTCGACATTCGAGTTTTCTTCTTCTCAATAAATGGCCCCACTGTCTGGGAATTATGCAAATGAAAAACACCTCTTTTATTCCCTCTCTTTGCTTCACAATGGTCTGTGGTCATACCACCTTGAATCCACCCGATCTTTGCTTCACAACCTTTAGCAAAATCCATCAATTTTAAGTGTAAATACCTCTAAACAGAATTCAGTAACAGAACACTTGTGAAGCATGTGCAAGGTTCTGGGTTTGAAGAAAAAATGTCACATAAAATAAATCCCAAGCTGGGCATGGTGGCGCATGCCTGTAATTCTAGCACTCAAGAGGCTGAGGCAGGAGGACTGCTGAGTTCCAGGCCAGCCTGGGTTACACAGTGAGTTTAGGCCAGACTGAACTACATAGCAAGATCCTGTCTCAAACAAAACTCTCGAATTCAGCACTTTTCGGTTCTCAAGCTATGATCTCACTCTGGGACACCACAGTCATTTCCCTGACAGGGCGGTTCCTTCATCCTTTCTTGTTCCTTCATCCATTCTTGTTCTATCCAATCCATTCTACAGCTAGGTAGGAGTAAAATAATCCTTCAAAACCTAAGTCTGATTATACTATACTATAAGTATTTCCATAAATTTTTATGACATACAACCCAAATTCCTTTGAAGGCCCTAACTAATTTGCTTCTCTTTTAACTTAAGCCAAGGTGAGTTTTGTTTTCTATCATCTGCAACTGAAAATAGCCTTTCTGATGCAGATGTATAATAACAGAATGACATAAATATAGGACTGATACAACGAGATACGGATTTTTGCACAGATCACCCTAACACTAGTTGAAATATGGCTTTGAAGGGGGTCAGTTAAAAAGCTACTGCCATTATCCAGGAAGATGAGGGTCCCAGTAGACTACTAGTATAAGAGCTACAGAGAAAAAACATGGATTGGAGAAGCATTACAGGAGTCTATCAACAGGACATGGGTTTAGCTACAGAGAATGGGAGAACACAACTCACTAATGGGCCCCATGTTTCTGGTTTACGAATCCAGAGATACACTGATGCAAGCTGCCAAGGGAAGTAAAGATGAGGGAAGAGGAGGTCAGCAGCTGGGTAAAGATGATGAATCCCCTGGGTTCACTGAGGTACTGAAAAGCCCATCACAGAAGCTACAAGTGGGCTGCAGGTATGTGGACCAGATTCCCCCAGTGTATCAGAGAGACTTCCCACAGTGGTCTCTCAGCTTCTCAAAACATGTGGAAGTTTCAGGAGAAAAAAAATGTATACCTAATCCAGAAAAGGTGGGGTCAAATTGCACATGATGATGTTGGTTAATTTACATAAAACAATGGTAGAGGAGGTTAGATGAAGTTCTTCCTGGGGATTTGTGTTTCCATTTTCTGATTCTCACTGAATTAAAATGGAGACTTGGTGATATTCTTCAAAAAATTAATAGTGCTTATAGAGAAGTGAATAACAGAAGGTGGGAGAAAATCTCAACTCACTCCATCCCTGCTACATGGAGAAAAATCCTGCTGTAAACAGGGAGCCACAGCACCCATGCAGGGGTCTCTCCCACAGCTAAGTTGACAAGGAAGGCAAACTTAGTCTCCCCTGTTCTCTCCACATCTTCCACCATTTCTAAAATTAAACCATTATGCAGTCTGCCAAACAAAGCTCAAAAGCAGTTTAACATTTAGCTGGAAACATGGTTCAATGGTGTCGTACCTGTATTCAATCCCCAACACAGAAAAAGAAAGGTAGCATTTAACCTGAAAACTAACAAGTGGCTGCTCAACAGTGAATGCTAAGAGTTATTCTATGAGCAAAGTTCTCCCTGTTTCATGCTTTGCGTGGCAGCCTGCTACTGTGAAAGCACACAGCTCATACACCATCAACTTCAGGCCAGGGCTGGCGTTGGCTCAGCCACTGCACCCATGGACCAGCGGCTAGCCTGGCCTCACCTGACCTCACTCCAATTTCAGTTTCTCATCAGTAAACTAACACAAGGATCTTTGTCTGGTCTCCTCCTTCAGGTCTATTTGAGGAGCAACTAAAATAATATACTTGAATATTATTTGTAGCTTTTCAGAACTATGTAAGCCTAAGTTGAATAGTGTGTCTACTTAATACAGTATATACAATTATTTTTACTTTTCAGAAACCATCTCCTCACTTCCCATAAAAGGGGGGATCCACCCCTCAGCTGAATAACAACATAAAAGACCCCACTTTCAAGCCATCTCTGCTCATAGCTAAGCCTTTCTCACCAGATCACTTTCTCTGAAGTGCTCATGTACCCCTGATCAGGGCAACCTTTTGTGCTCTTATCTGTTTTTTTCACAGTAAGTTGTTTTATCACCACTGTTATAGTTATACTCTTTGGTTACTTTATTCATCTATTTGGTCACTAGAATGCCAGCCTCAATGGAAACAGGGATTCCATCTCATTCACTAGCATTCCTACCTCCAAGAGAACACTGTATAGGTAAGAAATAAGAAGTGTTCAATATATATTTGTTGAATAAACATACTTTTAATATGAAAAGTAAAACTATTTGTATAAAATGAACTTACCTTCTAAAATTATGTTTGAATCTTCTATAGCATCATCTAAAAACAAACAAACATAGATTAACTCAGCTCCACTCAGGTCCCTTGAGCAACTGATAGCCACTCTTAATCCGTAAATGTTGCCTGTTTTTAGACGGGGTCTTCTTATGAATGGATTCAACAGTATTTATATCAATTTTGATTTCTAAATTGTATTCAAAGAATGCATCAAGTATTATCCCTGATAAAACTTGCACTATGAAATAAACATAATAGCTGGTTTATTTTATTTGCAGGTTCTATATTTACAAGGTTCAACTAACCAAGGATTTTAAATATTTGGGAAAAAAACTGTATCTGTACTGAAAATGCAAAGACTTTTTTTATCATTATTCCCTAAACAATACAATAACTATTGCCATGGTATTTACACTGCATTAGCACAATAAGTAAGGTAGAGATGACTTAAAGTACATATAAGGTATGCATAAGCTACAGAAAATACTACACCATTTTATATAACGAACATGAGCATCCTCAGATTTTGCTATCTGTGGGACATGCTAGACCCAATCTCACTGCAGACGCCCTAGACAACTATGTTGACAATAACCATCAATTTCTTAGTGACTTAAACAGGTCATCCATTTATTTTGTCTATTCTTTTACCCACAAGTTATAAAAGCATTAATATATGAAGTTGAGGGCTGATTTGTAGGAAACATCTGTTTACAGGAGAAAAAAAAAAACCTCACCTGAAATTTCTATCGGTTTATTTTCTGAAGGTTCATATACTATAGAGCAAACAGAAAAAATAAGCTTTTAGCATTGCATAACTTTAATGATAACAATAACTGAAAAAACTCATTCCAGGTGTCAGTCTATCTTATAAATGCTTGAACCTACAGAGTTGGTCACTGCGAAACACAGACTACAGAACAGGGTAGGAACAAATCTGATTAACTCAGTGAGACAGGCCTGGCTTCAAATTCCAGATAGGCTACTATTCGGCCAGAGGAGATGGCAGAATCATATGCTTCCTTTCTACAGAGTGAGGAAAACACAAGCACCTCTTCCAATCACTAATTTGAAGTTTTCACTAATTTCTTTATTCCCAAGTGGCACCTAATTTCCTTTCAAAATTTTCTTCCTGTTTGTGTTTGTGGTTTTGGGTTAACAAAAGCCCAACCCTTCTAATCACCTGGATCTCAGTTTATAACCAGGCAGATTCCCTACTAACACGGGCTCTGAATTTGCCATAGTAACCAGGGCCCAATGCCCAGCCCTGCTGTTTTCTGCTGGTAAAGGGCTTGGAGTAGCTCCGCTCCAGTGTAAGGAGCCGTTCTGCCATGCTCCAAACCAAAGCTCCTCTGCATGTCCCCTCCCATGTCCAGGGGCTGGCAGCTTCCTCAGCAACTGATCGTCCAGAATGCCTCCAGCTTTCTGATACACTAAGGGCACACATTTTTATTTTCCCCAAACATTCAGAGATTTATTACTTTTTATTTATTTAGTAAAGGAGACTGTCTGAACACCTTTTAGATATTCTCCGAATTGGGGTTAAATCACACTGTCCTTTTGATACCATTTGGAAGATGGAGATGCAGGGAATGTGTCCACACCCTTACCCTAAGCAGAAAAGCAGCGTTTAAACACAGACCTCAAGCACAAAACCAGCGCTGCTCTGGACTTTTCCCTTTACCCTTCTCCCCTCATTTTGCAATTTAATTTCTTCCAGCAGTCACTGACATTTCACTCTGACATCTCCTCTCCTCACCTTCCCTCCTCTGTCCATTAGCATCTGTCTTCCACCCAGAGTATACCCCTGAAAAGGCTCCTGCTGGGCAGGCCACAGAGCACTTCCTTCAGTGTGATGTACGCTTTCCAGCCTTGCCTTCCTGGGTCTCTCAGCAATATGCCCTCTCCCCACACAAGCTTCCACTACACAGTCTTTCATCTCTCATTCTCAATCTTCCTTATCAAGTCAAACTTTCCTTAGCAGGGAGATGAGGGTTTTCTTTAAAGCTACCTGACCTCGTCTCAGCCACCTCTATCTTTTCCTTAAAGGACCCCAGAGCTTGGTTGCAATGACCCTAAAAACCATGAGCTGCACTTCCCTTCTGAGAGAGATGTACCATCGAACGGCTTGTCTGCCTGCTCCTCTTAATGTCTCAGAGCAACATCATTATCAGCATATGTGAAACTGCACTCCAGCCCTGCCCTATCCTCCAGGGAAAAAGTGCTACCAGGCAAGAAGCCCAAAGAGGGGCACAGTTCCTGGCACCTTGCTCTCTTCTCTAGCAACCCTATACGTCAAATCCTGTCAAATGTACCTTCTATGCATTTCTCAGCTTTGACCATTCCGTTCCACTTTTGCTGCCACCACCTCGCTTTAAACTACTATCATCTCTGTCCGGTTTGCCCCATCAAACTGTCCTTGTCAAGGTCACCAAGGAGGCCACTGTGGCACTAGACCATGGTCATGTTTTCAGTGCTTGTCATGCATGGCCCAAAGTAGCCCAAGATCCCAAAGAGCATCCCCTTTATGAAGCTCACATCCTTCAGCTTCTCATTCAGTACAGATCGAGCTGGAGTGCATCAATTACCTACCTCCTCATATCTATTCTTGTCTCTCTTGTGTACTTCTGTTTTCTTTTTTGTTTGTTTGTTTTTTGTTTTGTCTTTTTGAGACAGGGTCTCACTATACGGTTCAGGCTGGTCTTGAACTCACATAACCCAGGTTGGCCTCGAACGCATAATGATCCTCCTGCGTCAGCCTCCCCGGTGCTGGGATTACAGGTGTGCGTCATCATGCCCAGCTTCTCGCTAGTTCTTATATGTCTGGCCTACCAGTCTTTTCAAAATGCCAACCTGATTTTGCAGTGCCCCTGTGTGGCACCCTAAGGTCAAGATGAAGTCCTGGACCTCATCTACAGACATGCTCTGGACCTGGACCACCTTGTCATGTCAGCCACACCTCTCTTCTCATTCTCATACATTCGTATCAGACTTCCCAGGACTCCAGCCACCTTTCACCTCGCTTCTCCAGTTGCCTTCAGCTGCAGCTGTCTCATCCAGAAACCAGCTAACATCTCTTTAAGACATTTGTTAGACTATGCTAATCCTCACTAGCACTTACCACAACTGATAAAACTCCACAGTGAAATTATTTATTATTTTCTACCTCCTTGCTAAAATATAAGGTCCAGAAGAATAAGCACCATGTGCTCCTTCACTGGAGCTGCTTTGGGCTATTAGGTTAGGGATTCAAGATAACAAATATGGAATATATGAACAAATAAATCAATTGGACAGTTAAGACTGCAATTTCACTTCCCAGGTTTGAAGTTTTCTAGCATATCTGTGATGTGAGAAGCTGGTATGTGTTAACAGTTCTATCAAACCATGAGCTTTCTGGTTTGGCAAACGGAGAGTTTAATATAGAATATTCTATATTCCAATCTCCCGCTGAAACAGTTTTGCTTCATTTCCATGCAGTTAGTTGGTTTTCAGAATTTGGCTCCTAAATTTGCACAAAGGTATCTTTTTAGTGTACAGTGAATAATCCCATTGTATCTATTGTGTTTGGAAAAGTTTATGTTCTATATCAAGATGATTCACAGCATCCTACCATATCTCGATGCCCCCTTTGATTATACTCATTACCTTTTTGTTAACATTTTAAATTATATTTACTATGATATTTTGCCTACGAAAATATATTTATTTTACAACATTCTTTTTAGCATGTTGCTCAATTTTATACCTTGTTTTTGGGGGGCTAGTAGGGGAAGATTTCTTTAATAAGACAAAACCACCATATGCCTGAAACTAGAAGGATGATTCATAAATTCAACTATATTAACCATTATGACTTTCAAGAGACACAAGTTGAAAATACAAGTTACAAAGTGGACATCTTCACAACCTCTAATTGGTTGTATACAGAACACAGAGACTTTAATAAAGACAAACCACCAAACAGGAAAGTGGACAGGATACTGAACAACCTCTCAGAAGAAACGGAACGTGACACAAACACCTAAGACTGGCGGCCTGCTTAGTAACTGAGGAAATACAAATGAGGACTACAAAGCATTTCCCTTCCCTGGATCAGCAGAAATTTAAAATCCCAATAGGACTAAATACTGGGAAGGGTGTGGAACAATGGCACTGCTCATAGCTCACAGATGGGAGTGCAAGTTGCTGCAACCATTTTGGAAAACGCTTTCACTCTTCGTGATGCTAGTGTTAGAAGTATCACCTAGATGGCTGGGGATTTAGCTCAGCGGCACAGCACCTGCCTGGCAGGCGCAAGGTCGTAAGTTTGATTCCCAGTACCAGAAAAAAACCAAAAACCAAAAAAAAAAAAGTATCACCTAGATTCCACTTTGAAGTCATCTCACACGTGATGCTCCCTATCTGATTTTAAATTCCTCTAGCCCTAGCCTATAAAATACATTCAAAACATATTTTATGTTGTTTTTTTTCCGGTACCAGGAATCGAACTCACGACCTAGCACTTGCCAGGCAGGCACTGGGCTGCTGAGCTAAATCCCCAGCCCCTTTAATGTGTTTTTTAAAAACATGACTGGGCCAGGGATATAGCTCAGCAGTAAAGCACCAGCCTGGCAAACATGAAGTCATGAGTTTGATTCCCAGGACCAAATTAATAAATAAATAAATACATACCTACATACATACATGACAATGAGAGGGAGAAATAACAGTATCTCAAATCCCACCTCTATATACAACTTTTCATTTTTAAATTCCTAATTTTTCCTCCAAATTCAGGACTGGAAAAATTGAGATCTAATTTCATAGGCCAACTTCTTTAACTTGTTATAAAACAGATATAAAACAGCCTATAGTTTTTTTTTTTTGGTTTTTCTCCGGTACCAGGAACCGAACTAAGATGATCCAAAATTCTTTGGATTTGTACTCCTCTAGCCACTATGGGTCTTGACAGGGTCTTAAGTCTTAAACACTTACATAAAAATTAGCACATCAAGTCTACCTACAGGGTTTTCTAACTTTCTTAATAGTGATTCACCAACTAACCTGAAACTACAAACTCTTTTGAGTCCTAAAGCATCTAGAACACAGAAAGCCCTCTCTACTCAATTTGACCATAACGCATTTCTTTATCCTTCTGACTTTGTACACAGCTACACTCAGTTGACTTCTCTCTTCTAACACAGTAAATTTTAAATATAAGATACATCATTGGTTCTATCATTTCCTAGTTATACAAATGCAAGCAAATTATTACCTTCTATAAACCTTGTTTCCTTCACCTGAGAGGCAGGGAAAATATAGTCTGCTTCATGGAGTTCAATAAAATAGTACATGAAATGCTTGGAAGAAAAAAGCTACAGCAAGTGCTTATATCTGAATAGGATGCTGCTCATGCCAAAAATTTGACAGAACTATTTCTTCCACTTTGTTGTTAGGCCTGAAACTGGACTTCCCCTAACCATCCCCAACATGACAAATCAGGCACCTCCAAGAGAGGGATCACTTTATACAAGCAATTAGACTAAAGTATATGCTTGTGAATATTTTAAAAAAGAGATGCCTGGAAAATAATGAGATCAGCTTTTTTTTTTTTTTTTTTTTTACAATTTGTAACTGTCCCCTAAGAAAACTTGTGAAAAGTTTAAGAAATTATTCTGACAAAGGCAGAACTACTAGGGTAGTTAAACAGGCTCCAACAGTGAATTCTCTGCAAATCATCATTCATTTGGATGTTTTAAATTATGGTGTTTATAACTTAAAACATAATTCTCTGTGTTTATAGTCAAAATACAGGTATATTTTAAAATAATACATAGATTAAACTTAAGAAGCATCTCCACACCTTGCTCATCATAGTCTTGGTACGCTACATCATCTGTGAAGGAAGGAAGAAAGGAAAGGAGAAAGAAGCAAAGTAAGGATTAATAAGTCATTAAAAAAAAATCAACTTTAAAAAAATCCCTTAAAACATAGATTTCTTTTCCTTTAAATATCAATGATTGTTCCACCTGGCAATAAATACTTTCCCCAAAAGCAATAAAAAGGGTAGGGAAATTATATTCATAAAAATTTCTCAGAGTAAGATGTACAAGATTAGCATTAGGATTTAACATCCTGTTTTTTGGTTTTTTTTTTTTTTTTTTTTTTTTTTTGGTTTTTCTCCGGTACCAGGAACCGAACTCATGACCTTGCACTTGCCAGGCAGGCGCTTTGCCGCTGAGCTAAATCCCCAGCCCCATCCTGTTTTGTTATAGTGGTGCTGGTATATGAGGTGAAATATGAATGCCCAACACAGTGGATCCTCGAGTTACAACTGGCCTCATATATAAACAACTTGGATCACAACTAGAATTTCTGGTTTAACTTATGACCAAAGTCTCGAGTTGCAACCCAAAAACCAGCCACTTGCATGGCTGTAAACGAAGAATCAGGATGCCAGAAAAGCGTATGTAAGCATATGTGTCAGTCTGAGCCCAGATGTGTGTCTGTGGATGCGATTTCAGTCAGTGCTTTATACAATCACTATAACTACTACTATCAAAATGGCCCCCAAAAGATAGAAAAGAAGCTAAGGAAGGAAGGAAAAGACAGCAGTCACAATTGAAAAGAAGGAAATTGTAGAGAAATATGAGAATGACATTAGTGTGACTGATCTCACTATTATGTACAGCATATCAAAATCCACCATATCAACAATATTACAGAGAAAAGATTTGTATAAGGAAGCTAGTGCCGCTAGAGGTGTTACTCAACTTACTAAGTCACAATCAATAGTGTTAGACCAGGTAGAAAGGCTATTATTAGTGTGGATAAACTTTTAAAAGGTAGATGGCAGGTCACAGCCTATCTGAGTCTATAACTTGTGAAAAGTTAGGACTATTAATGCAGATCTCATAAAGGATAATCGATCAACGAGTAATAAGGTGAAACATTTTGGGCCAGTAAGGGTTGGTCTCACAATTATAAAATCAGAACTGGAGTTCATAACACAAAAAGGCATGGTGAAGCAGCCAGTGCTGATAAAAGGGCTGCTGAAAATTACATACAGCACTTCAAAACAACAACACAGAGAAATGGCTTTTGCTCTCATCAGGTTTTCAACTATAATGAAACTGGACTTTTCTGGAGGAAAATGGTCAGGAGAGCATACCTTTCCAGGAAGAGACGAACATGCCAGGTCATGAGCCTATGAAAGATAGGCTAATCTTATTGCTATGTGCCAATGCGAGTGATGACCTCAAGATAAAGCCTCTCTTGGTTTACCACTCCACCCCTAGAGTGTTCACGAAACATAAAGTCATGAGGAATAGGCATGTGGAGATGTAACTCAAAAGCCTGGGTACTGAGTGCTTTTTCTTAAATGGATCAGACAGGCTGTGTGTCCTACTGTTAAGAAATATCAACAGGACAAAAGTTTACCACTGAAGGTTTTCCTCATCATGGACAATGCTCCTGCTCACCCATGAGATTTGGAAGAACTGCCTGAAAAACTGCCATTGCTCTCAGTCAAGTTCCTCCTACCTAACACAACTCCTCTACTGCAGCCTATAGGTCAGCAAGTGACAGCTAACTTTAAGAAACTATACATTAAGGAACAGTTCCTGAAGTACATCCCATGATTTCAGACACAGATGTAATCTTTAAGGAGTTCTGGAAGGAATACTGCAACATCCTTTCCTGTGTGGGGTTAACTGAGAAATCCTGGGCCAACGTCTCTCTTAGGACACGGATCTACCCGAAAGTGTCGCCTAAAATTGTACAGGAAAGAGACTTTGATCGATGTGTAGAGAAGGCTGAGACTTCAAATGACCCTGTGGTTGATGACATGCTCACTATGGCAGAGTCCATAGGCTTTCAGAGAGACAGCGATGATGCTGAGGAACTGAAGGAGGAACACTCAAAAGAACTGTCCACAGAGGAACTTCAGCGACTTCTGGCTGAGCCACAGAGAGTGGCAGATGAGGAGCTTTCTGAAGAGGAGGGGGAAGTATCAACAATCAGTGCAGCAAAGTACTTCTGAAATAAAGAAAATCCTGAAAAAGTGGACAAAGCTACAAACATTCGTACAGAAGTCCCATCCAGACAGAGAAAAGCCAATCGTTGCATTCACTTGCTTAGTGACAATGTCATGTCACACTACAGAACAGTGCTTAAGAAAAGACAGAAACAGAACTTTGATTAGTTATTAGTTGTGAAAAGGGTAAGAGTGAACCAGAAGCAGGTTCCAGTGGGTTACAGACTCTCCCTAGTAGAGGACACCAGAGAGACAAATTCCCGATGTTCTTGTAAGACAGGACTCCCCTTCCAAACAATAACCACCTTTCACTTTATCCTCCCTCCCTGGAAGTGAAACTTGAATGGTGAGTATAGTACAAAATTGCTTCTGGTAAATGAGCCACATTTTATAACATTTTGGTGAATACACTAGGAAAACTATTGGTGTTTACAGTAAATTACACACATGATACAACCCTTTTATTATGAAAAGGTTAGTCAAGGGGTGCTTTGGGAGGTTTGGAATGCTTTATCGGTATCTCCATTATTCCTTATGGGAAAAATAGTCTTGACTTACAACCAACTTGAGTTATAACCAGCCCTCCCAAACAAATTGAGTTCTTTTTTTAAGTCTTTTTGAGACAGGGTGTCACTATACAGTTCAGGCTGGTCTTGAGCTCACTACGTAGCCCAGGCTGGTCTCGAACTTGCAAAGAACCTCCTGCCTCAGCCTCCCCAGTGCTGGGATTACAGGCATGCACCACCACGCCCATCCCAAACTGACTTCTTAAATCAAGGGTACACTGTATTCTTTTAATGAATTAATTTTGTTACCAAAAAAAATCTGGTTAATATCACGTCTTAATTTCTCACCATGTGAACATAGTACTGCACCTGAAAAACCTAAAGTAATATTTAAAACACAATGAGGGGCTGGGGATTTAGCTCAGCGGCAAAGCACCTGCCTGGCAAGCGCAAGGTCGTGAGTTCAGTTCCCGGTACCAAAACCAAAAATAAATAAATAAATAAATAAAAATAAAACACAATGAAAGTGTTTACTTGATACCTGCTTCTTGGTGTAATCTTTCATCATCTATTAGTGGTTCACTGGAATCTAAAATGAAAAAAATATTCACATTTAAAAACATGAAAAACCAAACACTACAATTACCAGATTCCATTCTAAAAGATTCACAGTTAAATTCTCCCCTATAACATCTTGTAAGACAGACACTATTATCATTTAATGAAATTTAAAAGAAGTTTTAGAATTTGCTGAGTTTCAAAGATGAGAAAAAATGGAGCTAGGATTTTCACCCAGCCCATGTCTACTGTACTACAATGTCTCTCTAATGTCTGTGTACAAAGACCAAAATACAAATGGTGGCCAAAAGAATAAATGTATTGCCTTTTGTCTCCATCTCCTCATGTAATATTGAACTACACTCAGAAATTTCTGTATCTACAGAATGAAAAATTACTAACAGTGCTATGAACACACCCTGAACTAAAATGGTCCTTGCTGTCACCTCAAACAGAAATACAAATCATTTGTTTTTAAACTGACAAACCTGAGTTTTCTTGGTCATACATTATCTCTTCCATATCCTGATGATGGTCTTGTAAAACTATAAATTAGGAAATAATTAGAAAATTTAAAATATGTCTCAAATGAGGACTGTATGACATTAGAAACTAGGAAACCACAATTCCTGCTAAGGACAGGAATGTAAAATCAAAACACCATGACAATAAATCATGTTCATTCATGGAATCAGTAGGTATTAACCACACATAATGCTAAACACAAAGATGAATTCGATGGTTCTTGTCATAAGGATCTATAATCTAACCACAAAATAGTAGTTATATTTTCAACCAGCATAAGAGATTCAAGTGCAGTCAGCAAATACACTCAAAGACAGGCAGAAAGCCAAAGACAGATGTATAGAAAAGTCCTGCTCCTACCTATGCGAAAGTATCTGCCACAGGAATCTTGGGAAGCACACATTTAGACCACACCTAGCTTTGACACCCAAGTCCTCTCCGAGGCATTACTCCCAGACTAGAATACAGTGCTAGTGTTTATACATACACATGGTTAAAGCATTCAGGACCTGCAGGCAAGTCAACAATAGTACGAGGTGCTAAAGTACCTCTGAGAGGTCATGTGTCCATCTCTAGTGTGGCTGTGCCTTCATGGTACTGACATGTACGACAAATCACAATTTTGACCCTTTATTGACTTTTCAATTTATGGGTACAATGCAAACAATTCCACTGCACCTTTGACCTAGTAATCCTACTACTAAGACTTCAACTACAGGAAATACACTTCAAAACAAAAAACTGCATTAACCAAGATGCACTTATACGAAAATATATAACATTATTAACTATACAGCGCATGTAATATATTAATTTTAAAATTTTAATTTGTAATATATTTTTATACTGATAAGGCTCTGTTAAAGGAAAAGATTCACTCTAAGAAAGAAAGAATAATATGAAAGTCTCACCTGTCTCTTCTATATGATAACTATCCTCCGTGTCTGGAAAAAGAAAATTGGATTGATTATCAGTATATTAACAAAATGGTACATATATTCTGCAAACATGTATTTTGAATCTATGCTTATTTGTATACATTAAAATCAAATAATTATTAAAAAATGGAAATATCTATTACATATCTGCTTAATAGTAGAAATACACTCAATATCCTCACAAGGCTGACAAATTCCATAACCTGGGCTAAAGACAATGATTTATTCAGAGTGACACAGACACAATGGCTAGACCCAGAGAAAGTGCTAATTCCTGGTCCTCTTCACATCCACTGTCGTGTTCCATTTTCTAGCCCTGTCCTACCAGTTCTTGGAGCAAAGTACATTGTCTACAAATGAAGACATAAGAAAGAACGGAGGAAAATTTATGATTGGAAGCTAGGCAGAAAAATGTGTGGATAACTTAACCTGCATACACCAGAAAGCAAACTGGTCAGCATAAAAACTTTGACAAGTTTGTAACCTATCTCCTTTAATAGATATACACAGTGTAAATATTTTTAGTTTTGAAGACTTCCAGCAAAATTGAAGTTTCTATGTTCACACTGAGTCTATGTCCCAACTGAAGATTAAGCCAGAAATAAAGATTTCTATAACTTATAAACTTCCTAGGAATGTTTCTCCCTATCCTGATCTACAACTCTTAACCTTAAAGTTATCAAATTCTTCATGTTTTTGACTATTTGGGCATTTTAAGTGAAACCGGTTGAATAAGCAGCACCTACATACAAAATTATTATATATATACATACAAAATATATATACATCTGTCTATAGCAGGACTTTTCTGTACATCAGTAAGTGAAGGTTTATAGAAAGCCAGCCATCCTTACCCATGTAGCCATGGTAGGTGGGTGCCTCTCACTATGACAGCAAAGGTAGCCATTGCAAAACACAAAAAACATATGACCTGGCTATTTAAGAGAAAAAGCTCGCCAATGTCTAGTACAGAAGTTAAGAATTATGTTCTACGGTTTGCAATTACAAAGTTTGTGTTAGAACAAGAGTACATAATAGGTCCTCAGGTCAGATATCCCATCAGTTTTGTGTAGCAAATGGCACCTTGGCAAGAGCATACAGTAAAAGTACTTTGCAGAGGTGTTTCACCTCTGTATGAGAAATCTGTATATTCTGAGTTTTCTTTAGAAGTTCTCTGAATCAAAATTGATATCTTTACTTTAGGGAAATACTCATTTTAACTGAAGCTTTAAGCTTTGACTTCTTGCTTTAAAGAGGTTTAAGAAAAACTTTAATAAATACAACTGCTGTACTTTATCTTGAATCCAAACAAATATATTCTACCTTCATGAAATGTTTCAGGTTCCAGGGTCTCAAATCTATCATCCGCCTCAGAGGTAGGAAGGAAGCCATCATCCTCCAGCTGTAGTTCTCCCACCGGCCCCTCCTCTTCCTGTTGCAAGGTTTCTCCTTCCACAAGGGTACGGAACAAACAGACACGGGTGCACAGTGAGGGGCCAGGAGTGACTGCCAACTCAGATCCGAGCCCCTTCCAAAGAAGGGCCAACCTAATTCCCCCTCAGGGCCACTGCAGGGGTGGGGGACCCACCCTACAGCTATTTTTCAACACTAGACAGATGTTAGTCACTCTAAAAGTGATCAGGAATTCACCTCTTCCCAACAGAGTGTGGACATGCACTTCCCAAGTTTCGTTCACTGTATATGCCCAGCACCTAGGGGCAAGCCTAACCACAGAAAGTATTCAGTAAATACTTGATGAAAAATTCATAATATGAATATACATGCCTCTTCAGTTATCACTGGATCTGACAAAAGATCACATCAAGACATTTTATTGAAAACTGACATAAAGGGGCTGGGGATTTAGCTCAGCGGCAAAAGCGCCTGCCTGTCAAGTGCAAGGTCGTGAGTTCCGTTCCCGGTACCGGAGAAAAACCAAAAAAAAAAAAAAAAAAAAAGAAAGAAAACTGACATAAAATTCCTTGTAACAACTTTAAATGACTATTCAAATGTTCCAATGCAAACAACAGCCATTATGTACCTATCTAAATCACATGCGAGGTCACAGATTCACCTGCCTTAGCCTGTGCATCTGAACTATCCCAGGTTTAATCTTCATTTGTGGAAAGATGTGTATCTTATTTTCTGTGATTAGCCTCTATAGTATATTGAATAGTTCTGCTTTTGTGTGGACATAGTACACTGTTCCACTGAAGTATGATTCAGATTGTTACTGTGCCTGAAGATGATCCTCACAGGAACATGGCCTGGCTCCCAGCGGAGAGCCTCCTGTAAATAACACTCTCAACTAAAGAGCCCGAGGGAGCCGGGCTAGGCTGTGCCACGCAGCACAGTGATAAGGAGTGTCACGTCTGGACTCAGGCTCTTTCACAGCAGCTGTGTGACCAGGGCAAATGGACTACTCTGTGCCTGACATCTCCCTTCTAAATCACCCATTCCCGACAGAGCTGTAAAGTTTCAAACATTCAGAAAGATGTCGTCCTCCCTTAAATATTTAGGTGTTTTTGTTCACATCACGAGTGTCAACCGTGTTACTATTTCTGCTGCTGCAACTGAGTTTCCCACCGAAACTGCAGAAAGTACTTACTCTGTCTTTACTGTGGCATACATAGTGAGGCTCTCAAGTGTACTGAATCATGCAGGCCTGCCTATTTTTTCTTTCTTTCTTTCTTTCTTTCTTTCTTTCTTTCTTTCTTTCTTTCTTTCTTTCTTTCTTTCTTTTTCATTCATTCATTCATTCATTCATTCATTCATTCATTCATGGTCTTTTTGAGACAGGTCTCGCTATGCAATTCAGGCTCCCTTCAGCTCACTTTGGAGCCCAGGCTGGCCTTGAACTCGCGATGACCCTCCTACCCCAGTGCTGGGGTTACAGATGTGCGCCACCACAGCGGGTGTGCAGGCCTATTTATGAAAACATTATTTAAAGCAGTTTCCCCTTCACCTATGGTTTTGCTTTCTGAAGTTTTAGCTACCCATGGTCAACCACAGCATGAAAATAGCATGTGGAAAACTCCAGATATAAACAATTCATAAATTTTATATTGTGCACTGTTCTAGTATGACGAAATATGAAGTCATTCTGCCCTCATCTCACTGGGCCAGGAATTGCCACTTTGTCTATCACATCCATATTATATTAGTGATCAGCTCATTAGTCACTTAGCGTGTGTCTAGGTTATCAGGTCAGATACGGTATCCATCTGCTTGCATTCAAGTACCATTTTATTCAATAATGACCCAACGCACAAGGGTAGTGACGCTGGCAATTCAGACATGCCACTCATGACCAGCTGTAATGTGCTTCCTTCAGGAAAAAAGTGAAAGTGTGGGACTTAAGAAAATCCATATACTGAAGTAGCCAAGATGTAGAGTAAGAACAAACCTTTAAACTGAAAAGAGAAAAGAAATTTTTGCTAGTCTTCCTGTTGCACCTCAAAATGCAAGAGAGAGAAATCAAGACAAACTCCTGAGTTTTGCTTATACAAGGCAAGGGTGGAAAAGCCATGAACTGCAACACGAAGGCTAGAGGAAGAGCAATTTGGGCTGGGGGAAGGGAGGAGCAGGACATCTGTGAGGCAGGGAGGAGACAGGGGCTCTCCACTGTGCAGCTTCAGTCTAGACACCCACCCAGCCATGAAACGGAGATATCCAGTACACAGCGGGGTATCGACGGGCTTTAGATGAATCATCAAGGCTGCATCAATCACAGCAGGTGAGTCATGTCAAAAGTCAGGGACCACTGATGTGATTGTCTAAGGAGAAAAGCTCTATAAAAAAGAGCAGGCCCAAGAAGATTCTTTCCTCTTCTGGTGGGCCACCCCACCACACTTAAATGCCTGCTGTGTCTTCCCGCCTGCTGTGCCTTCCCTCCACGGCTGAGCCTGAAGAACCACCTGGACCCACTCGGATCACCACACACCTCCTCCATCCGCTCCCTGCTGCACACTGGCCCCTCTCATCCTACAAGAATCCTGAACACTCCTGGAGTCAAGTATAAATATTTCAGTATTATTTTTCCTTCAGCTCCCTCCACTTATGTATCCCATGTACTGGCCCTTCTGAATGGCTTCCATACTTTTTTCTTCTTTGGTACTACTGGGAATCGAATGCAGGGCCTTCACACTGAGCTATGTCCCTAGACCTTTATTTATTTTTTTTTAATTATGAGACAGGGTCTCATTAAATTGTCCAGGTAGGACCCAAACTTGCGACTCTCCTCCCTCAGTGCTGGCTCTCATGCATGCTCTGCCCTCCGCTGACTACGCTTGCCAGCAGAAGCTCTGTGTCATCTTTCAGTGTCTAAACAAAGATGTCATTTCCTCCAAGATGCCTCTTAAGGACCTCAAATCTGGATAAGCCCCACAGAGCATTTTACTACTTTACCACAATAGTTCTTATCTCATTATATTAAAATTATTTATTTAGATTCAACCTTCCTTGTGCTAGGTCAAATATTTTTAAAAAAACAGAACTATTGCAAGGGGAAGTCTGCACTTTCTCATACAGACAAATTTACATCTACGCAAAGTGGTTTTCTAGCCGCTAAGAAGCTGGTAATTAGGGGACCTAGATTCCTACACCACCAGGAGCCATCAGCAACATCCATTTCAAATGCTAGGGAACTTCATAACACAAGTTATGTTTCCCCTTTACAACTACCCTTGGATCATACCAAACCGTTAGGAGTGTCAGGATACCATAGTATCATGTGCCTTTAGAATTCCTTTCTCTTTCTGAGTTACATTTTAGAGCCATGCCCTCTGCTTTTGTCAAGGGATGCTTCAAGAAAGAGATTTAGACACTTTTAAAATACTTTCTGGAAAATCATTTAATATTCTTTCTGCAGAACTCAACGAGAGATTTTTTTAGATCTAAGTGAGTGCTGGGAGAATATTTTTTATGTTCTCTAAGGAGACAGTGTCCTTTTGACTGCTCCGGGAATATGACCAGTGTAACTAAAGTCCTCCCTTTTTACCTTGACAACCAGCCAAGCATGAAGTAAAATTCAAGGCTTGACAGTAGCTACTGGATAACCTATCATAACTTGTTCACATTCCATGCTCCTCTGCTCTGTTTTGCCCATCTATTTCTGATGAATCACTGCTTTTGATTTGTCTATATTCATGTAGTCTTATTTTCTGAGACAGGATGTTGGTATATAGCCCTAGCGGGATTTGAACTTGCAATCCTCCAGCCTCAGCTGCTTAAGTGCTGGGACTGCAGCCATGTAACACCATGACTGGCTTCTCAGCGTTTATTATAGGTACACTCATAAGGGCCCTCGTAGTGAGGTTGGGCACACTAAAGAACATCTGCTACTTCAAAAGTAATATTCTTTAGTAACTAGTTTTTTAAAACCCCAAATACACGACTAACATTTAAATTTTAAAATAATGCCAAAGTAACTTGAAGTAAACATTATTTTAGTAACTCATGACATAATAGATTTTAATTCATACCATGTTCTGCGTGTACCATTTCATGAAGAACGGACTGAATCTGCTCCTTTACTTCATCTTCAATATCCTGGGGTTCTAAAATAATTATAAAACATTACTAAGTAGAAAATACTCAAACATTAATGGGGATCTCTAGCATTCAAATACAGCACTTGTGAATATACATAAAAATGAGTGTATTTGGCTAAGCAACTGTGTATCTCTTTCTTATCAGTTTACCAGTTTTTCCCTATATTGATAAACATGTTAGACATTTTCAATCGGTTTTATTTGGTTACTAAATATAAATGTTAAGACTTCCATCAGGATTTTTGGAAATAAAATAATTCGGGTATAGATTTTTCTTTAAAAAAAAAAAACTCATTAAGCCAGGCATAGTGGCGCATACCTGTAATCTCCGCCCTCAAGAGGCTGAGGCAGGAGATCGTTGCAAGTTCGAGACCAGCCTGGGCTAAAGAGCTCAAGGACAACCTGAACTGTGTAGTGAGGCCTTATCTCAAAAAGGCAAAGAAAAAAAAACTCATTAAGAGCAAAATGGCTTCAACTTCTAGTTAATAAAATTCATACCAATGATAGAATGGAGAACAAAACTTTTACAAAGGGAAGTCCTTGGAAATAAAGACAAAAATATGAAATGTAAAATCAGTACAGATTGGAGAATATGGCACCCTGTGTTTCCTAACAGGCAGGAATAAGGGCACCCTTGCCAGGGTGAGGACCTAGACAGTAAGTGCTGGTGGACCACTCCAGAAGTCTGCAAGGGAATAGGCAGCCTTATGTTATAACTGATGGTCCTTTCAGCTTTGGAGAACCACATCTGACACTCAGACCCATAAACTCAAATAAATGTGAGCAACAAAAACGAAGATGATTGAAGACAGGCTCACAACACTGTACTACTTGTTGGAAAATCAGGTTTACTGCAGCATCACACAACAAAGAAGGTACAATTACACTGGCACTGCTACCAACTTTCTAACAAATACATTTGTTCAGTGAATTGAAAGCACAGCTAAACTTGGTCTCAGTATCATAAATGCTGTTGCATGAAATAACGTCAGTGACAATAGTTACGTCAAAGAGCTAATCTTCAATGACAAAAACCAAAATAAGTAATCTGAACTTCAGAAGTGAAAAAGTTTAAATACAGTATTCCTATGCTAATCATTTAACAAAACCATCTCTAAAGCATAAAAGGTATTTTTATAGATGTTTGTATTTCACAAATTATCTTTACGTATATTCTAATTCAATTACTGGAATGGCTGGCCTCCATTCTTCCTTGCCGCCTCCCACAACGTCTATGATGGCTTCCTCAGTGGATTCCCAGTCTCACAGCTGCTGGGAGCACCAGCCAGACAGGACATGGTGAACTGCTAGAAACAGAGGGTGGTGCCCTCTGCTTCTCTGCTTAACCCTTCACCCTGTGCCCCGAAGTGAAAATGTACACTCCACGGGAAATAAGTTAAGTGCTCTACAACTGGGCCTCACACACATTTCCAGAATCTTCAGCTACCAGAACTGGCTTTGATTTTGGTGAATATACCATAGTATTTAACGTTTCCATGGTTTTGTCAATGTTCTTCCTCTCATTTAGAAGAGAGGATGTGTTGAGACAGAAACCAGATTAGACTGAGTTAAAGAAGGATAAATAAGGAAAACAGTTACTGTACAGTCTGCTTTCAAAAGCCTGGCAATGCGTGATGAGAGGGCTTGGATGGCAGAGAGGGGTCAAGAAGGGATGAAGAGCTTCATTATATTTTATGAAAGTTGTATAACTATGTTTACAGAATAAGTGGATGGAGTCAGTGAAGAGAAATTAAGGACAGAATAAAAGAATGCTTTAGAAGCAACACCGGGGGCTGGGGATTTAGCTCAGCGGCAAAAGCGCCTGCCTGGCAAGCACAAGGTCGTGAGTTCGGTTCCCGGTACCGGAGAAAAACCAAAACCAAAAAAAAAAAAAAAAGAAGCAACACCAAAAGAAATATTGCAAAGAAGCTGAAAAGGATATGAGCTAATAATAAACAGGTTATAGAGCTAGATTATCAATAATTTGCAACAGTGATACTAACAAAAAATGAAAATAGAAAGCAAGTAACATTTTTACTGGCTTTCCAAACAAGATTTACTAAAATTATAAATTCAATTAGTATAAAGTAAAATGTGAGTCATTAAATCCAAATACACATTTAGTTATAAAACTTGCATTTAAAAAAAAAAAAAATCCTTCTTCCAGAGCCATGGTATAACCAGGGCAATTTCACAGGAAAGAGAGGAAAAAATTCTCCAAGGGTTAATATTAAAAAATTATAAACCTTAGGGGAACATATTAATCTTAAAAGGAAATACAGAAAGGACAATCTCATAGTATTCATCAGTAGTCTTTGGATCCAGGACTTAAATTGCCAGTGAATATGTCATACTTAACACTTCCAATAGGTGGCATAATGAGACCAAGTTTTTCAGAACATGTAAAGGAAAAACTGCATACACAGACGCTTATATACTATTTTAAAATAAATGAGTAAAAAAGACAGTGAAGGATTAAAATCCAATTTACTAATTTACTAAAATATTTTAAAATTCCCCAATCAATGAGGTCATAGATCCTAGGGTGACCTCAGAAATAATGTGAATTGATCTATAAATCCATCTAAATACACAACAGCTTTCAAAGAGCATCACAAGGAGATCTGGAAAGCCTTTTGGTGCCAGTAAGAGACTCTCATGTAAGACTGAGGATCCATTATTTTACTTTATTAAACCCTGCGGCCAATGACGCCAACATCAGTATGTAATACGTGTGCCCTTTCACTTTCGACATAATCTGAGACAGCAGTACTGGGAATGGAATGAAGAACAAAAGCATCTGGAGCCTGCTGCTCCTGACTTGTGCGTAAGTCTTGGCAAGAGAATGTCTGTGCCTTAGATTCTTCACCTCCAAGATTATCTTATGTGAACTTTTACTAGGAAAAAATGTAAGTTTATTTTTAAATTTGAGAAAGAAAACACCATTCACTTCTCTGTAACAATGTGCAACATACCGTAGGTAAAACAAGATTCTGTACACTGCATAGGAAGACACCTGTGAGGCAAGATACGGCCTGCCGGGACCATGGACAGCTTACCTGTCCCCAGGGGAGCCTGGTCCTCCGGCTCAGTGTGTGGCTCAGCCTCCTCCGCTGGGAACTTCGGCTCGGAAGCAGCTCTTTCTTTAAGGCCTGCGTTTTTATTCACAAAGTTAACTTAAGCTTTTAGTCTTTCTGACATATTAGACCAGGAAAAACAACGTCCTCCAATATTGAATTAGTGTGTGTAACTCAGTTTCTAACATCACTTACTGAAAGACTGAAGTGGGAAATAATGTGCTCTGTAACTCTAAGTGAGCCTTTGATATTTCTATTTTGCATTGAAAATAGTAAAGAAAAAGTCTCTATTCACTCAAGAATCTTTAAAATATACGGTCACGTCTAAACTTGCCAAAGTTCAGAGTGAGCTCAAACTTTGGTGTTCATGTGACTACTTAAATCTTGAGCTCAGAATTCAGAAACTATGATGCATCTGCACATTTGATTAGGTGTGTGCACTCATTATTTTGACTTCTGTAGTTACACAGAAATCACTCATCCCGGCCTCAGTTACACTGACGAGTACTGTAAATACATTACCCTATATGAGGTAAAAGATATGAGAAAAAGTCCTTTTTAAAAAAGAAATCCTAAGGAAAAAGCGTAAGAGCACATTAATATGAAAAGTGATTTTAGAGTTAATACCAATCTAAAATCTATTATACTAGTTTAGTTCTTTCATACTTTACACGTAAAACATTAAAGTGTATCAAATAATTATAACTATTCAGAAAACTAAACTAGAATCGAGCCTCATTCTGTTGAGTACATCTTGGACTTTTTCTAGCCACTGTGAATCTCACACCAGTGTCATCTCCCAGGAATCACCTACACATGGCTGTGCTCTGCAGTTAAAAGGGTGCAGACCAGGTGTTGAGAGGCGGTTTCTAACCTTAAAAACCAGTGTACAGCTGGGGGTCAAGCCCAGCGCCTTTATACTGAGCTATATCCCAAGTCCTTTTTAAATTTTGAGACAGGCTCTCACTAAACTGCTCAGGCTAGGCTCAAACGTGCAATCTTCTTGCCTCAGCCTTTCATGTACATATGAGATTAGTCTGGAAATTTCTCATTTCAGTGTCTTGTGCTCTTCTTTTTATGTTCCCTACTGCTCCCTTTTCTACACCTCATTTTCCCCCAATGTCAAGAAAAACAAAACAATATGCCAAATTCCCATTCCCAAACCTTAGAGACTCAGAAAGAAGGGTAGACAGGACCTACTAGCCACATCACTTACACTTCCTCTGCTTACCTGTTTCCAACACTAAATCCACACAACCACTACTAACACAAACAGCAACACACACAGCTATCTTCTATGTACGAGTAAATCTCACTATAAAGCAGATTACAAAAGGATCATACACAAATATCCACAGGTTCTAACTGTGGTTCATTTCATGGAAGGGTAGGGATGAAGCTCTCCTAAATTTAAAAACAGGACTGAAATGCTCTGTCCTTTCCCATTTAAATAACCCATTTTTACATCTCTCAACTGTGGGTACGACAGGATTCCAACTATTCACTGCCAAATTTTGCTGAATAAAAGGGAAAAGAGGTTGAAAACTTTTAGAATCATGTTTTATCTTTGCACTCTGAGCTCTTCGGCTAACATGTGCCATATAACAGTTGCCCCAAAACACATGCAGATTGAAAGGAACCCAGCTGCAGCACTTCCCTAAACTGGTGGCAGAGGTCCCTGCAGGCCCAGGACCCTCGGCTGCACTGCACCGGCTCGAGGTCTGGAGGTGGGAAAGGAATTCACATCAAGTTCTCTACTACCATCTTCTTGAGAAGCACATCTCTGCTCCAGCTGCCATCGGGTCAGTATTGCTTTGCACAGTGCAAGCTCATGTCTGCTGTCCTGGAATAATTGTTTCACTTTAAAGAATTTTTCAGTCTAAATGAAAACTTACAGTGTCCTCTTTCCCTAACTGCACATGCAGCACGCTTTTAAAATGTTCACCATGAGTAAAATAGTATTTTCTCATCAAACAGTAAAAATTAGTCGAAAATTCCTTCCTTAGGGTTTTTTTTTCCCCCCTGGTACCAGGAATCAAACTCACGACCTTGCGCTTGCCAGGCAGGCGCTGTGCCTCTGAGCTAAATCCCCAGCCCCTTCCTTAGGTTTCATTTGGGAAAAGAATTATAATACTAAAGTGTTTGAGGATACTTGTATATCCACATTCAGACACACAATCCCTTTAAGGGCCAGCTTTCTTTAACTCAACTGGAAGCAATTTGTCTTCAAAACCAAAATAGTACAACATATGAAAAACAGAAGTAAAGCACGTAACAGCAGAAAATATCACGAAGTTTTCTTTTAGATCCAAAGTGGTAGTTGAACTGTAAATTTATTAATACCTGGTCACAGTCCCTTCCAGAGATAAAATCAGCAATAATAATAAATAATGAGAATAATAAGAATAATAAACAATACTGTAAACTTCAGATAAGCTGAAAATCATGTATCTTCTCTAGATCCCTATAAACTTTTAAAACTTGACATCTTCTAGACTGCAACTGCTTTAATAACTACATGGAACAATTCGCTCTACAAACTTTTATGCTGTTTCCCGTAACTTTCTGCCACCAAAACTCCTTCTGATTTATAAGATTTGAGGCATAAAGCAAACAATTAAGTGAAAAACATAAATAATACCTCTGGTTCTGCTTCATTCTTAGATTTGAGGAAATCTTTCTGAGACACATCCAGTAATCTTTCAGTTTTAATAGAACCATGACCATTTCCATTATAGATCAACTCCAACTTATAATCAAACAAAAGGTTTTCAAACTGGGTTTATTAGGAAGTACAAAGGACAAGCACATAGCACTGGAATAAATATTCAAGATTACATCATAAAGTGTGATACGTCCATTTTCATGTTGCTGGGGCTGTATGTACAACGTAACACCAACCTGCAATGGCAAGGTTTATTATCTAAGTTAACGTGGAGAGCAGAGGCAGGCTAGCTGGTGGTCAGCACTGGCTTCATCCTCAGGCCCGCAATCAGGTTCCTTCAGACAAAGACGATGTCGTGTACAGGACACCTCTCTCTCTGCTTCATTCTCAGATTTCAGGAAATCTTCCTGAGACACTGCCAGTAGTCTTTCAGTTTCAAAAGGACCATGACCATTTCCATTCCTGAGCCAGCACAAGGTACAGAATGATCACAGATGCCTTATCATCCTTATCTACAGATGAATGTTGTAAGGCCACTGTAATCCCCATAATGTGATTTGGAAAATGAATCAATCCCCTTCAACCATGCTGTGCTTTTATTTTTGTAGACACATTCATTAGAAATTTTTTCTTTTTTTTTTTTTTCTGGTACCGGGGCATTAGAAAAATTTTAAATGTTACATTTAACAACTATGGAATTGTCACCCCAATTTAAATTAAAAATGGAAGAAATTATAGAAAAGTCAATGACGTCAGCACTTGAAACTCACCCTTCATAGCAATGTTGGTCATCCAACGATACTACCCTGGTCCAGTATGAACTTACTTTACTCACCACTGCCCAACGCAGCTGAGCAGAAGGAGAAGGAACAGATGTACTTCTCCTATGATACGCAGTAGTTACAAACCTAATCACCTGCACACTGTCTCCATTCATTCAAAACTATACATTTAGCACCTCTTAATGAAGGGCAGCGCTTTACATTAGTGAACACACAAAACACCCGCCGTGTAGGGAAGAGAGCAAGTAAAAACATTAAGGGTCTATGAGCTGAGGACTGACAGTGTGAGGAAGACCTGTCGGTGAGGGCCAGGCACAAGGGAAAGGGAAAGGAGCTATTTACAATATAATGGGCGAGGAAGGACTCACCAACTACCTGTCAGTGGACTTCGGCAGGAAGTCAGGGATGGGACCAAGAGTTACAAAGGAAATTATCAGGCAAAGGAGTGAGGACAAACGCTTTGGCTGGGTACCAGCTTGGCTGGAGAAGCAGGTGGTGGAGAGAAGTCAGTCGGCGCGAGCACCAGAAAGGTCCTGGCACATTGGGTCACTCTAAGCGGACATGAAAAAGTACGGATGCAAATAGATTTTCTAAGTATTTTCACCCATGATTGGCTGGGCCTGTGAATGTGGAATCTGTGGATGTGGAAACTGCAGACACAGAGTTGACTGTACATGTAAACTCCTCTCCATAAAATCTAGGAGGAAACTATAAATAGTATTTTGTCTTGAAAGATTTCATACACATACCCCAAAGTTAAGACATTTTTAAGTCTATTAATCTCTAGTGTACCAATGTAATGATATACTGATTCATGAAACCTTTTGTCTTAACTCACCCAGATTCCTCCAGCTATTGTTACTTTTGCAGGGCAAGTGTTCAGAACAATGTCTGCTTCCCAGGCAAGTGACCTAATAGTGTATGAATCAACACATCCCCCCAAATGGTAACAGGTATTGTGTACCTTGAGAAGTATTTTAGTATATGTGCTGCTAAACAAGCACATAACCTCAAAAATATAGGGAACTTACTATATGAGAAAGGCACACATACTAACTACCCATGCTAATCTTTGTTTTTGTTCCCAGCTTCTAAAATTAAAGGGTATACGTCCTACTAAGTACACTAACAGAAGCCTCAAAATCAAACAAAGATGCTTGAGACTACCTGGAACTTTAAAAAAATTCCCCATTATATAAAATAAGGAGCATCTTATTCAAAGTATCTCTGTATCACCAAAGATGTACAGAAAAGATTTCTAAAAAATGACAAAATCATAGAAAAAACATAAATCACAGAAGAATTAAATACTCCCAAAAAGCTTCCTAAAACCCTGGTTTCTGAAATAACAAAGGGACTCAAAAAGACTGTAAGAATACCCTCACTTTAGCATGATGCAATACACATTTAAAAGTATGTGTGGAAGGGCACTTCAGGCAGGCCAGGTCCTAGTGAACCCCATATGGAGCAAGTTACCAACATAACTCTGCCTTCCACAAACACAGAAAGATAAAATAATGACCCTTTAAAAGGTTTTAAAAGTTGAGATCATTTAAATCCAGTAAAAACACATTTTTGAACGAATTTTTTTTACCTTTCTTTTAAAGAAAAAGTTGAGCCAGAGATGG